GTATATATATATATATATATATATATATATACACATATATATACACACACACACACACACACACACACACATGTGACCAAAATAAACACTTATGTTTTCGTGTTATAATTTGTGTTCATTCTAGACTGAAAGAGGCATAATTTATATTTATTTCCTTATTTTTATAGTGGTTGTGAGATTGGTCAAATCTACCGAACCCTTAGAGATATTAATTACTGAAAATAACAGATAAAATATAAAGTTTTCTTTTAAGAAATGTCTGATAACTATCTGGACATTATAAAGATTTTGTATGAGAAATTTGAAAACTTTCTGATGCATAAAAGTATTTTCAATCTTAAAATGAAAATTACTTTGCATGTAAGATAGGCAACATGCAAAAGAAAAAAAATAGGTATAAGAAAAACATTGCTTTACAAACCTTAAGACTTCATAAAAATTTTTTATATTTTTGCACATGAAACCATTGTAATGTTTACCGATAATCTGCCAAATTTCATTAACATTCTCTTACCAATTTAAAAGTTATCGCATGAAAACCAGAACAAGCACAAAATGGTTACGAGATCGGTCCCTGGGACCAAACATATGCTGAAAGAGTTAACGAGTTGGGCAAATAAATGGCAGATGGGTTTTAATTATAATAAATGCAAGGTAATGTATGTGGGTTATCATAATTTGAATTATAAGTATAATTTGGATAAGAATAACCTTAATAGTATTATAAAGGAAAGGGATCTTGGTGTAGTGGTTTATCAGTCTCTTGAGCATTCCAAGCAGTGTGCTGTTGCTAGTGGTAGTGAAAATAGAATTTTAGGTTGTATCTAATAAAATATTAAATACAAGGCTAAATAGGTTATAATTTCTTTGTATAGGTCAATGATAGGCCACATTTGGAGTATTTTGTTCAGTCTTGGGCTAATTATCTTAGGAAGAACACTGAATTGTTGAAAAGGGTTCAGAGTAGGGCTACTAAAATGGTGCCTGGGATGAGAGGGGTTGTCATATGAAGAGAAGTTAAGATCTCTGAAATTGTTAGAGGGGACCTGATAGAGGTGCTCAAGATTATAAAGGGAATGGATGGTGTTGATTCATCATCTTTTTTCATACTTAATGGTGAGAATAGTAGGACTAGGAGACACAAATATAAATTTTGGCAGAGAACGAGTCATCTTCAGCTAAGACAGTTTTATTTTTCTAACATGGTGGTTGGCTTTTGAATGTTGTGAAGGTAGCAGATCTAAGTGTGTTTAAGAGAAAGCTTAATAACTAAACTAAATGAATATTAAGGACTAGATTTGAGGGTTTTATACATTTTTTTTAATAGTTTTAGTTTAGTTTAGAGGATGGGACAGCCTAGATCAACCAACAGGTCCTTTATTGTCCCTAAACATTATTATGTCATGTTGAATGAAGCAATAGCCACGATAAGATTCTATTAGCTGGAAAGTTGCCCTTTCTATTTGTTACAAACATGCCATCAAATTTCTATATTCACTATTTACATAAAAAAAGCCAAATCTAAGACATATTGTTAAAGTTTCAATCTAACATTAATTTGTCATTATCCTATACATGTTGTTGTAAGGTTATTTAAAGTGAAATTCTTTCAAATACTAATTCTCAATAAATCTTATTTTATATTAATTGTACTGTAGTTTTGTATTACATTGTCCCATGATGAAATGCAAGTCAAAATATTAATACATAAAACTATTTTTCCTGAAGTTAAGTTTTCTCTATCAAAAATGTTCAATACTTTTAATTATCTTTAGAGGAAAATAATGAGTGACTCAGAAATGAAATCCACTTTAACATTTTTTTGAATATAATGCCACATTCCACAATATTAAAATTTCATCAAGTTTTTGTTTTCAGTATCAAAAATATGCATATGGATATTCTTATGAATGACTTACATTTTAAATTCATCTGTAATAAATTGAAAATACAAAAAACTAACCTTTAAAAAGGCTAAAATAACTTTGATATCATAATTGTCATTTCCTTTTCCTAGGTCTATTGCCATTGTCTGTAAACAAAAATAAACACAGCTTATACAATAATTCCAAATATACATACTTTAAGAAAATGCATACTATGTGGACTTCTAGATTTGTAAGAACATCTAAGCCTTACTTCTTCAAAAATATTCATTCCTTATAACACTGTGACAAAAAATATTGGATTTAAAACCTTACACCTTTAACTTATGCTAAAATAGGCACACAGCATTGTTCCAGGTAGAAATAAATTCATTTTTAACTTGATTGTGCCAAATGCTCAAGAGGTAAAATCTGGTTGAGGGGTAATCCCAATTATTAATTTATCTTCTTGCTGAAAAACTATTTACATTAGAGATTTATAATAGGTGTCATTCATTAAAGATTCCAAGATAACTCAAAAGTAGGTATATACAATATAGATTGTTTAGGGTAAAAACAAGGAAAGTTATTCTAAGCAAAGTTCCAACTTCTGACATTAGAGTGGACATCAAAAAAAAAAATCTTAAAAACAATTCCATGGAGAAGCCATTGACTCCTACTTACTTAATGTTATATTCTTTATTTGGTATGAAGAAAACTAAACCTAACCTACCCTCCTTCAACTCCAAATGAAATTGAACAATATTCAAATGACATACCCTGCAAATAACTGAAAAAAATGTTTTTATATTTGAATCCGACGACATGGTCAAGGCAATAAAATGGTAACATTCATTTTCTTTGAATGAATAAACATTCATACAACATGTGGAGAAATAAGATCTTATATATTTTTAATATTAACAGCATTGCTAGAACTTGGAAAATATTAATCACGGTTTAACACTCAGTTTAGGATTTTAGAAATGCTCTTATTTAGGAGCATTAGTTAAATGAACAAGTGAGAGGGCAGCCAAATATCCAGCTGTTCTACAGGCAAATTGAAGCCTTAGAGATACAGATGAAACTCTGTTCTGTTTTCACACAGTAGAGAGATTTAACAGATCTACTGATATTTTCTAATCTTGTTAATTTTGGTCTCTTTTCAGTTGGTAAGAAATGTTGAAAATATTTTTAGCGTTTGAGCGCATGTTGCTGCTTTAATTTAGTTCAAAGGTTTTACCTATTTATATTATTTACTTATCTAGATACTAATTTGCATTAGCTAAATTTCTGCATCATCACTGTTAGAAACTCAAGATTTCAATGACAGTTGAATTGACCATTAAAAAACTGGTTTGATTTCATCAATCTTGATGCCATAAACCAGACTTTATATTGAACTACTAATGAAACTGTCTTGCAACTTTGTGTTACAAAACATCTTGTGATGGTATAACAAAACAGTCAGAGAAAGACTGTAAAAGGGGAGCTTGTGGCATCCCACTGATATTTAGATTTTAACCTCATTGCAAAATCATCTTCCCCAGCATAATCTTAATTTTGTCTCTGAACAAAACATCAGCACAGCTATTGAAAAGTTAGAGAATGTTAATGTGAGCATAATCTACTAAAGGCACACAATGTCTACATAAATTCAACCATATTTCCCAGTACCAGCTATACATTGCTTCCTCCACCAGTACATTCAAAACTGTGAAACTATTTTTGGATGACTTGTATAAACCCAAAACTGAAGAGGGAAAGACAATTTCACATATCAAATGTGCTCAATACACTGCAAACAATTATTTTATGATACTTGCACTTACGTAAATGTACATAAATGCATTTTTATTACTTAATTTTATTTCAAATGCTAAACAAAATGCTGAAAGCAGAACTTCATGATTTTTAATTTTGAAATACTATTCAATTAAGATACTTCAACAATAAAGTTTTAGATATTCCCCTAGCTAACTGCCAAGCTATACATCTATTTGTTTAAGCTTTTTCTTACTGTTCTTACCAATAAAATAAATCAGTGTTAAAGTAATCAAAGTATTAGGAAGAAAATGTCAAGTGTTGGAAGTAGGATCCATCTATAGAGTTCTCTAAACTTCACTGCAAGACCCATGAAAATAAGGTGATGTATGACCTGGTATGAAGGGAACATTCAAGTAAGAACTTGCCAAGCACTGCATTTATCCAGAAGAAAATTTATTCCAAAGAGAATTAACTAGGAACAAAATGTCAAAATAGATAAAAATCTTCCAATATGCGACGGTGTTCAAAGAATATGCAAAATCATATGCCCAGCCTGATCAATAAATTCCAGTGTATGTAGAAAAATGATGCAGTGGATAAAAACTGATGACACCCATCCTCCAAGTGGGTGTGCATTTGAAAAGAAAAAAATCAGGGTATTCTGATTAAAGTACGTACAAGGAACCAGCTTTACCAGTTGTATAGTTCCCAAGAAGTTACTGCTACTCAAAGGATGAATCCATTGACCCTCAAAGCAAAAATTAAATGTCACTTTCTGAATGTCAACAATAATGAAGAGGCTATCTACAACTTCTTATATGTTGCACACTACTCTCTAAAATGCTTCAAAAGAAAGAAATTGATCCACCAAACCTGAAAGCAAATTTGACTGCCCCATTCTAAAGTGTCAGGAATGGGTTCAAAATTAATGGAAGGGAGTTGTATGAAACATGTTGAATGTTGCTGCTTAAGAATCTTGAAAACAGACTTCTTAGATTGAAGTCAAAATACTCCAGTGTTGAGGAATCATCACAATGTGTTTTCAATGAACCACACAGCTCAAGAAGTAGCAAAACAGGTATGACAAGTATTAGCACTGAGCTATCGATCTAGAGACAAAACATCAGATATCTAAAGGATGTCTATCGCATGTAATCAACTCCCCCAATCATGAAACTTCCCGGAACCATCCAAAAGACAATAACATCCCCATATTGAGATAGGGCGAGTGAGAGCCAAAGGACAGAACTGTAACCATTCTACATACCACTTCTTGACCCACAACACAGATGGAGGAAATTGAAGGAAGAAGATAGACACCCCAAAACATGTGTGAGGACTTTTGTTGATTGGTTCTGCTCTAAATCCAAAACCCAGCCACGGGGTACTGACATCCACGCATTTTGACATATCACTCCTTTGTAATTATATATTTCAAAGAGGAGGACAGTATATCATCTACACCCGCAAAACACCACTGCCCTATTCTACACTGAATGGTTATAGCCATCTTTGTGTGGAACCCATTCAGGAGGGTGCCTCCATGGTCGACCACCCCAGCAGCTTGGAACTGGAAAGTTGTAAGAACTCCCATACTCCACTAGAAGAAAGGGGAGTGAAAAGGCACTGGAGAGTTCAGAGGAATGTCATCACCTGACAAAGTGCAATGAGTGACCACAAAACTCTATTTTTGAAAAGCAGACCATACCGAGATATTCACTCATACCGAGCATGGCAGGGATGGGCAGCTATTCCCTTCTATTTTATCCATACAGTCTATGGGTGGTACAATTCGGGACGTGCATGATTATGAAGCAAAATATCGCAAGCTTATTCACCTACAAGCGATCTTGTGGAACACTCCATCTCAATGGTGAGCATTGCGAAGCTATGGAATATAAAGCACGAATCAACATGGCTGTACAGTGCAAATATCAAGTTAAAGAATACCTGAAGAATCCATGAAAAGATGTAGATCTGAAGCATGTGCCTTGTCCAACCACCAAAGCAGATTGTCTTGAAGGGTAATGGGAGTAGAATGAGAATCCCATGCAAGATTCCATTGATTATGAAGAGCCCACTGAAGGGATCTCATATGGGCACAACCAAGAGGGACCAGGGATGTCTTTGAAGAGCACAACCCCAAAAGTGATAGAACCTCGTGACCAGGAAATGATGGAACCAAGAGGGTGTGGCAACCTAACAATTCTATAGAATGAAGTCTTAAAGCAGAAGGCTGGACCCAACTGATACAAGTGCCAAGAAGGACTCCCAAATGGACAAGATATTGAGTAGGTCTGAAGAAGAACTTCTCCAGTTTGATTAACCAGCCCACTCGAGCAGTCACTAAAAGAAGCTGCCCAATATGGTCAGCCAAAAGAAGGCAGTCATCCATTTAATAGTAAAAACTCAACCCTAGAACATGAAGATGTCGAGCAAATGCTTAGACCACCTGAAAGAAAACATAAGGGGCCAAAGCAAGCCCAACTGGTAGTGCTCGAAATTGATAAACCACCCTGAAATGGACAAACTGAAGATAAAAATGAGACCAGGGTGATATAGGTATACGGAGATAAGTGTGACGATTTTGAGTGACAAAAGACTCAGTGGCAAACTGGGACAGGTGAACGAAGAGGTTGAGGAGAGATAAATCTATAACCAGGCTCCAGACCCCAGTTTTCTTGGGAACAACAAAAAGTCGGGAATAAAAACCTGTCGAAGGATAGAGAACAGGTTTGATAGCCTACTGCAATAGCAATTCCTGAACCGCTTCCAACAGACCCTGACTGACTGGTCATGGGATCCCAAGGAGGGGGAAAGGAAATGGGGAAAGGAAGGGGATCACAAATTATTCTGATAAAACTTGAAGAACCCATTGATCCTCGACTAAAGAACACCAGCAATCAGCAAGTCAAGCTCCCACTGGACCAGAACCCACTAGACAGTCACTGGTACTGTTGGCAATGTGAGGTGTGTCATCGAAAAAAATGACAAGAGGCACCCTGTGAAGAAGGGACAGGTAAGGGTCGGGAAGGAGAAGGATGGGAAATGGCTCTGAAACAAACGTGTGACAATATTGCTAAGGTGGATTGTTGTTGGACCGATGCCACCTGTGGCTCTAGCATTACCAGGATCGTATCAAAAAGGTACCACCACATAAATAGAGCCCATACATAAAACTTGAAGATAAGTAGATGGTAAATGGACCCAAGCCAAAATCTCATCACAACTAGAAGCATCACATATGCAAAGCCAGAGCCCAAGATGACCAATGAGCTAGTGTGGAAGAAAGAAAGGAAAAGGTATCCCAAGAAAACCCCTCAGGATTTCTGTGGAAAGCCTCACAGAGAAGGTGTGGAGAAGATATTGTAAAAGTTGTAAAGGTTAGATGCAGGAAAAA